CCTGCTGATGCCTTCATGCTGGTTTTTGAGCTCAGTTTGCCTACCTGGCTAAAGTGCCTGCTCCATGAACTCCCCAACCCTTGGAACCCATGAGATCTATCCTCTACCTCCTCCTCCTCCAAGAAGCCTCCTAGGCCTCAAGTCACCTTCAGATCAGGCAGTCCCTAGTCCTCCAACCCTCCAGTGGGGCCTGGCTCTGAGCTCTTGGTCACCCTGGCCACCTCCTCTCTTTGGCTCCTATTTACCCTGAGGTGGGAGGAGGGATCCTCCTGAAGGTAGAGGGTTTGTCTCTAACTTTGGAGCCTTTAGTGGACACTACCATAGGGCACAAACCCAGAGCTCCCTGGAATCTGCTTACCACACTGCACATACCTGCTCCAGCCAACCCCTGGCATGGCCAAAGTGATAGGGGCAGCAGGGGCTTAGAGCACTTCCCTTCCTCCAGGTTCAACCTATGAGGCCAGTATGGCATGACCTTCATCTCATAGATAACTAAAGTAAGACCTAGAAAGGGGTGCGATGCGGCCAGAGCCACGCAGCAAGGTAAAGACCAAGTTATGGCTAGAACCTGACTCCAGGACAACGTGAATCTGCAGGAGAATTCTCCAGACCTGGGTGGAGACTGGAGGCTGGACTAGGAAACGCCATCCAGGCCCGCAGTGCTGGTTATGGGAGAAATGACCACTAGGGGGCGCGCGTCATCAATAAATGTTCAACCCTCACCTGCATTCCCAGTGCAACGCACACCACAGGCTCTAAGGGTCCTGGACCTTCACAGAGAACCTAGATCAGAGAGGCGCCTCGTAGGCCCGCCCCATAACCTTCCTACCTTCCCACTCCGCGCCTCCCCTTATGCCAGACTCTGATGGGGAAGAGAGAGTCAGGGACCTAGTTCCCCGCCTCCCGGAGAGGATGGCTTACCTGCCACCTCTCATAGCCCTGTTGTCGCCTAGAATCTCAATCACGAGAATTTCAATCACGGGGAGTAGCTGGCCCTGGCTGTGTAATCCTTGCTTATGAGGGTCACAATACACCCTATAATCCCTCCTGGCACCAGGGGCCCTGCCTCTCAGTTCCACATCCAGCCATCCTGGTCTACCCAGCCCTGCTTTCACCAAGC